CTTTTATCCAGACAAACGTCTTATTATTTTAGCGAAATACATCGAAATCAGTCAGCGAAAGTAATTTCGACTTACTTATGGCGCTTACGATTAGCGAAGCGTACAATCGAAAACAGATTTGCAAGTTAAGAAACAGAGAGGAATAAATACAGTTTTGAGCAGCTGCACGTCACGAGATCCGTTCTTAGCTACACTTTTTATGGAATAGTTACTGACGATCACTACAAAAGCATCTGCAAAACAGTCGATAAAATAACCTCGAAGTATAAATTGGTAAGAACCAACCAGTTGAACAAGCGGGATTCAGGAAAGGGATCAGTAGGATCGACCATCTGCAAACGGTTCGGAGTTTGATAGAGAAATGCACAGAATAGCATCCCTATAAACCTGGCATTCCTCGATTATTAAAAGGCTTTCGACTCTGTTGAAACTTGAGGGATCTTGGGAGGAATTTAAAGACAATTAATACACTCTTCTTGCACGTTTTCAACCATTCAAGACACGATTTCCTTTCCGGATTTTCTTTTTCAAGTCAAGTGGGTACTGGCTGTCAGTGATGCCATACTAGGGAATTTTTCGCTAGTTCGAGGGAATTTTCGTTTTTCTGCGAAAAAAAGTATTTTTGGGAAGAAAATATTAAAATATCATAAGGCTAAGTAGAGGAGCCATCATTTGCTATGGCGATTTCAGTCGCAGTCAGCAGCGCACACCTCGGTGAGTCCTTTGAAACTCGTTTAAGGTATTTTTAATTTCCCGTTAATAATCTTTACGGGGATGCAAAAATCAATACACATGCAGTGACTGTGACTTACAACTGCCCCATTTACATTAAACTTTGTTAAATAGCTATTTAAATTAAAGCTTGAATTTAAAAGAATAAATAAGAAGAATAAAAATTGAAGCAAATGTATGAGATCCATTTTTTACATTTTTGTAATTTCGTTACATACTGTTTCCAATAACGCTTTTTGTTTCACTGATCACTCGTTATTAAACATTTTTAGTTATAATTTTTTTCCGAAAATCTAGGAAAAGCTAAAGATTTTTTAAGTGAGCATCTGGGGATTTTAATTTTATCGATCTAGCATCACTGCTGGCTGTGAACTTCCATCATGCGGATTTCCATCCATGTAGCGGAAAAAATAATGTTTTTTCGATACAAGGACGAAAGGTGTCGTTTTTCGAACGACGACGGGCTTCGTCGTTCAGGAGTCCGAAAAACGGATTGTCGGAATCCTAAGTTATAATAAATAAGAATAGTCAAAAATAAAAGGCATTAACTTCATATTTTAAATTTGATGTCAATGCCATTTTTGACATTGTCACGATTTGACGTTTGCAATTCTTCAAAAGCGTACTTTTGTAAGGGCATACAAGTAAAACAATGAGAGTTGAAAATTCAAGTGCTGCTTTCACGGAATGGTGTTTGTGTAAGTTGCATATTTCGCATGAAATTTGCGCTATTTAAAAAGATCGTGCTTTGCGTGTGGCAACATCGGCGAGCACAGAAAAATAAACCATTAGAACGACTTCGAGACTGAACTTGTAACAAAGTTATTTAAATGTAAGTAAACTTTCAATTATGATCAATAGTGGTCGATAAACCTAGGTAATTAACTAAAAAATATCGGTTACTTTCAATAAAAATACTTTAAAACTTATAATGACAGTGACGCGTTCAATTTGTCGCATTTACTTTTACGCACAATGTTGCATATTTTGAATGACATTTGACATGACGGCTTTCCAGTGACAGTGACATGTTCAATTTGCCACATTTACTTTAGCGCGCAATGGACGTATAAGTCCGTGCGTAAAAGTAAAACTAAAAAACAGTAAAGAAAGGGGCGTCTATCGAAAAATGGCAGTTTTTGATTCATTCGAATAGAAAAAAAATTATAGTCGTAATGAATCACCTTACATAAATGAATGTGGTATTAAAAAAATCCCATAACTTCCTCCAATTATTGTATGTTCATTACCAAAGTTTCTACAGATATACCGGTCGTGTAAAGTTTGTCCAGCATGCCAAAACGCTGTGGCAGGCCGTATTTTTCTTTAACAGCGGATTAGCTGTATGTTCGTTTATGAGTTCGTATGAGGTTTGCGTATTGTGTGTCCAAACAAATACTTAAGTGGTGCATCGTCCAGTAAGAATGCATAATTTTACATTATTCCTATATATTATTATTAATTCAACAAGTTTCCTTGATGTTATTATGTGTTTTGCTTTTTTCAATTGTTAGCGCACAATTATATCTACCTATTATAATTATTCGGTTGCTGGCAAGATTAATCACATTTAAGTAGGGATTTTAAATACAAACCTAAATTAGAAAAATATTTGCTGCATTATAGATTGAAACTGACTTACTTGTAAAACAGGGTAGCATCTGGATCGGACACTTTCGCAAAGTCCCCGGCAAGGTCCAATAGGATTCGGCACTTTTTCAGTACACATCGGCACATACACTGAACACAAAAACAGCTTCAACTGCTGACTGCACCCGTACTGTATCAGAGGCGTGAACGACTTTAAACTGTAGTCGGCGTCTTGTTGAGCATCGTTTCCTCCTAAATTCGGCATGCCCGTCATATTATAACCGAGTCCCATACATAACTCAACACCAATTGGTTCACAAGTTCTCAGAGGTTCGCCCGAAGTATTTTCAGTTAAAACCAAGCAGAAAAACAGAAACGAATATACGAAGAACATGTTGCACGAGGGCATTGCGCTGCCAAAATAACACGAACTCGTACTCTGTCCGGCACCACCACTCTCCTCCGGAGTTGAACGCGATGTGATATAAAGTTGGAAATCGCTAAGCACAACACCCGTTTTTCTTGTTTCGACTTTTGTGCCTTGCAGTTGCCGAGTTGTCGGATCTCGGAATTTACCTGAAATTCACTCATTTTACTACCAGTTGCAGGTGTCGTTGGAGTCCCTCCCAATTTTTTGGTTTTTTCCTATAAAGAACACTTTAAGGTCCATAAATTAAGTAAAAAAACACTTACAAACTTTTGAAATTCGCTTTTACCAAACCACTTAGTTATGCACTAAAATGAGATTGTCTGACGCTATTTGCTGCTAAATCGTGCGTCAGCTATCAACAATTCATACCTCCACATGCAAAATTGTCGCTTAGATGCATAATAATTGTGTTTTTCGCAAAAGTTTGAACATCTTTTCTAACCTCGCCAATTGGTTGTGGTTATCTAGAGCGTTAATAGTCAGATTCCGGATTATCTGTTTCTTTCTGCCGTTTTTTCTCTCGGTTAATTTTCAGTTAGTTTATCAAAACATATTTTGAGGCCATTCCTTGAAACTGATGGGTTTTTCGGGTTTTTAGGCCGTCGTTAGGTAGAATTTCTTCTTGACGATTCGCAAGCACGATTGGCTAGCGTTCAAGCAAACCACTTCTGAAGAAGAAGAAGAAATTCTACCTAAAAACCCGAAAAACTCATTAGTTTTCAGGTAGTTTGTTTGTGTTACCATGGTTGAAGTGATTTTTTGAATGAATCTGCACAAATATATACAAAAAGTAAAAGCTAATACCCTGAAACGACCTGAATAATTTAAACCGACCTAAATTGATTGAATCTACATGCTGGGTATCCAAGGAAACAATTTTCATGAACTTAAAACTTTTTGCACAGTTTGGCAACGCCGCTCGAAGTTTAGCCTAAAAATAGTTAGTTTCCTAAAACCTTGTGAGTGTTCTTTGGCTTAATTTATGGACCATCCAAGAAATTTTTTTAGCTAAAACTGCTTAATATTAAGTTTTCTTTAAGAAAAATTAAAAAATTCGGAGGGACTCAAACGACAGGATCACCCCAGTTGCAGTATGTGTCTAAAAAATTAACATAAAAAGTTCAACTTTTTTAATTTGCATTTTTATAAAAAAAATCTCAGCAATACCTACATACATATGTATACACTATCAGACAAAAGTAGCGCAACGTTTTGAGATATACAGAGTGAACGGAAAATGCGATAGCAAATTTCTTGATTAAGTGAGTCATGTAACAAAAATTCGAAATCTGAATGTTTTTCGAGTTACAGCTCATCAATATTTTTTTTCTTTTATTTTTCACCTATTTTGAACATTTCTTTGCGGGTCCAACTAAAATTAGTGCAAAGTTTTATCTTAGTATTCTTTAACTTCCTGATAAACAATATTCCTCCCTTTTACAACTACAATCCAAATTTCATTTTTCGCATGCCATCTTTTTTTGCATGCCAAATATCGCAAAAAGTAATATGCGATTTCAAAGATTAGAAATTGCTAGACAAAAAATGGGCTCTTCACACGACTCGAAAAACCCCTTCGTTTAGGAACAAATCAACATAAGAGTTTTATCACTCTCAACCCAGTGCCTTTGTATTTAATTGCAATCGCAGTAAATCGTAGTCTGGTTTGAAAATGTGCCAAATTTGAAAATTTATAGTAATTATTGTAATACCATTCAATTTAGACTACATTTTTGTGCTGCATTTGAGCAATTTCAAAATACATATACAGTAAGCTGTATATATTTAAATATTCTGATTGGGCTTATAGAACTTTACTGATAGAAAACAAACTCAACTAACCGAAATCTAACTTATTGATTACACATGATCCTTTTTAAATACATTTCTAGGGTGAAAACACTCATTCATAGTGTTTCATATGGTTGCAAATTACGGATACATACTGTATTTGAATGTCTTCACAATCTAATAAATAGTCGTCGGGTAAGCCAAACTTACCTATAATCAAATTTAGTAGAACTTTAAGTGTACACAAACATACCAAGACGGTTCAATATCACGTTATCTATAGTTTCCCAAGTTTGACAACTTTGAATAGGTACATAAATACATAGCAATTCACATAATTTCCGCAATGTCTGTTGTCTACATAAGATCAAATAATTGAGTATTGCAGCACACGCCTTTCAACCCGCACGGCTTCAGTATAGTCAGAAGCTAACTAGATTTTTGGTCTCGTCAACTGCTCTTTTATATATTTTTTATGAATGTTTATATTTGTTTGGGCTTGGAGACGGCGGTTTTTTAGGATAAATAGAATAATTACATGGTGGCGAGTGAGCTTTGACTTCAGCGCCTTATTCAAACATACAGGGGGAGATTAGATACGATTTATAATCTAAAGCGGCGTTTTTTTCAATCAAGAACACTGCCTTTGTGGCATGCATATATGGGTATGATATACTGCAGTGTATTAAATAAGTACATGGATAAGGTGTAAAACACCGACTTAATTCGATTTTGTTGATTGTAAGATGTGCATGAAGCTGTCAATAAAAAATGCTGTATTTTAATTGCAATTAATTAATCGTAATTTTATATTCTTGAAAAAGACGATTCTTTTACTGAAGGTTTTACCAATCATTATACGATGTTCAGATGTTCACTTACGAAAATTACAAAAACATCTTTTACATTTTTTTACTTCAATTTCCTGCTTTAAAATTTTAGTTTCTTATTTACTTGTTCCGTGCTACTAGCACTTATTGTTTATTTTGATTTTTTTATATAAATACGTATATAAATATTTATAATTTATTATTGTTAGTAGTCCCACAATGTTACGTAATTATAGATAATCAAATAACGTGGGAAGATGCCGTTTTATTGTATAATAAGCCTCATAAAATTCAATAAAAATAAATAGAAAACTATTTAAAGGGTTGTTCTAAGTGGCGGTGGCATATTTCACGTAAGTCTGGCCCTTTTCTACGTTACGAGCAAAACTTTGAATGGATTTTCCAATGGGAGTCCAAGTAAACACTCGAGCGGCTTTGCTTAAAAGTAGCACCGGGCTGTTTGAAAAAAGCGCGGCTTTGCTATAAACGAAATATAAATGGGTAGATAACGGACTTCATATCTAATTATATCTCGCATACAAAAGGCAAGATTAATTTAATGCGCTCCAAAAATTTCGGTAGCTCTACAAAGCGGTTTTCTGGGTACCTAAACACAGCGTAAATATCGGTACCGCTTCAAAGGCATAATCTTAATGAGGGCATTTATAAGAGTGTATTTGAGACATTAGAATCAATATTTTCTAAAGGTGCTTATGGCTGGAACGTTTTCTGCATTAAACAAAAAATTGTAGGTAATTATAGATTTCCAAATTAAAAAGCCCTGTTTAAAACCCAAAGTTTTATTTAGACAAACAAGATTTTGCGTGCTGAATAGAGTAATGGGCAAATGCACTGGTAGCTGAAAGTTCCTTAGGTTACTTTGCATCCGAAAGTACTTAAATAACATATCATTTTACTGCAAGAAACGCATTTTATGAAATTTTATCGTTTACCAGTGCGTATAAGAAGTATTATTGCTGAATGTTTTACTACTTGTTCTATTCTAGTTAAATAGGTAACTCTAGACGAAACCTCTGGACGAATGATGCCAATTTCCCATCATGGATAATTAAAAATATTCATTTTGAAAGTCGTAAGGGTTAAGTAAATAACAATAATTTCTGAATTTTTTACTTAGAATAAGTTTATTTAAGAATCGTGGGACTTTAGGTCCACGTATCCGGTATCTTCATTAGCTACTAGGTCTAAGTTTCAAATTAATTTTTACTTTCTCGGCGTAAACTCGGCTAAACAGCAAAGCAATCCAGGACTACTACTATTTGAATTTACGAAATGAACACTTTTGGTACTAATAACTAATTACAATCAATAAGTTCAGTTACAACGTACAAAATTCCCCATTTTCTCAGATGTTACCAAGAGCCACCATAACGACTCCATCCTCCATTTGTGCTAAGTCGAAGACCAGATAATAATCCATTAGTCGATACTGGCACTGGGTTTGATATTGACGCTGGTACAGCCACGGTTCCTCCTAAGGAAACCGGGTATGCTTGTGCTACTGGGTATGGTTCTGATACTCGTTGTATAACGGGAACTGGAACTTTCTGAATGACTGGATAGGGTTGCGGTACTGGAACTTGCCTTTCCACAGTTACGGGGACTGGGACTTTTTGAATAACTGGGTAGGGTTGAGGTACGGGAACTTCCACTCTTCTCTCCACTGGATACGGCACGGGGTGAGGTACTGCGACTCGTTGCACCACTGGGTACGGTTGAGGTACTGGTACTCGAACTTCTACTCGCTTTTCTACAGGATACGGTACGTTTCGAATAACAGGGTAAGGCTGGGGAACTGGAACGTGCACTGGAACTTCCACTCGCTTTTCGACGTGTACCGGAACAGGGTGTGGAACTGGCACTCTCTGAACAACAGGATATGGTTGTGGGACGCGAACCTCCACTCTCCTTTCTACCGGAACTTCCACTCTTTGGACTACCGGATAAGGCTGTGGAACTAGAACGCGAACAGGAACTTCAACTCTTTTTTCTACCGGCACGGGAACTGGATGAGGCACCCTTTGAATCACTGGGTAGGGTTGAGGAACAGGAACTTGGACTTCCACTCTTCTCTCAACGGGAACTGGTACTTGTACTACTGCTGCTGGTTGAGAAGCTGCAATTGGTATTCTAATGTCTTGGACAGAGGGTGTCTGAATGGCATTAGAAAAAGGCAATCCTTGCACTCCTGAAGCATAGCTGATTTGATTGGCTAGGAGCGTGGGATTTCCAAGATTGGACGGCAGAATGTTCAATCCTTGAGTAGCAGCGACGCTGTTCAAGCCCGTTGATAATAAATCTGGTCGATTGGGAATTGAATTGATAGAAAGAGAATTTAAGTTGTTAAGTGCCTGTAGTTCTGCAGCGCCATATATACTACGTTTTGGTTTGGGAGTGTCTTTCCCATAGGATGTAGCAATGAGCGCCAAGAACAACAGGATCTGAAATAATAAATTAGTGCAAAAATACATGCTATTTTCCTAGACCATTTACTATTTTTTATTAATATTTGGTATAGTGCTTATTGTTTGGCAATGAGAACATTTGAATGTACGCGTAGATAGCATACATACAGGGTTATTCACGTTATACGGCACGGACGTTTGCGGCTAGCCCGTTTGTTTTTTGCAAAGTATTATTTGATGAATCAACAGACGCTTATCGGGTGCACATTTTAAAAAT